TATAAACAAACAGGCCAACAAATAGAGAGGTCAGAGCGGCAGAATAGGCATTTCCTATGAGTTGTGAGTGGTTACCATTGGGACGCGTTTCACTTAATAGGGTTTAGTTTCCGGATTGGTTTAGTGCTAGTTATATTAGGGCGTACTTTGCTTTTGTTTCGGAGTTTATGAGATGGAAAATCTATGTAAATTGAACACCTAAAGGAGTGACTTTGGTTTTTTAAGGGTTTCTTTATGGTTTCAAATTCAGGAAAATGCTTTCGTTGCATCTTAACTGCTTGATTTAACTGTATAACTCTTTAACTAGAACTCCAAAAGCATTTAAATTCAATCTTAAACTAGTTCGACAACAAATAAATCAACCAATTAGGTCGCACCTGAGTGGCCATTCATTCGGTTTTATGAGCAAACGATGGTAAACATTTCAAATGAAATGCCTAATGCAAATTGTTGAGACAGTAACACTGCAGACCGCAAATGAACGGTTGCCAGCACACGCCCCTATGGTGCAAGTATAGCAATGCGACATTATGCGGCAATGTGCTACACGGGAAACAATTTTGGCGAGTTTTTAACTTATTTTTAAAGTGTTATTTTGGTTTATAGTAAACATTTTTTAAATAAATTAATGTTGGAAATATTTTTTTAATTGTTTAAATAATTTAAACAGATTTTTAAGAATGGTTTGTGTAACGATGGTTGCAATTTTTCTTAAAATTTGCTTTTTTAATTGTTTCTGATTAAAAACATTTATTGTTGTCCAGATTTCAGCCTATATTCTATCACAAAACTACTATAAACTACTTTTTTTTTGGTGCACTGCTCTCTTCCCCTCGACAAACCCCCCTTTGCCGCCGGCACTAATATGCAAATGTAATTTGCTGCGTTTGGCGCGTGACGTTCGTTTGGTAATCGCAACACAATTACAATGTTGTCAGTTTTGCAAGAGTGTGGGTGCGTGTGTTGCTGTCTGGGTGTGTGTGTGTGCGTGTGGCTTGCAACGCCAATGCTGGCTGGAAAGAGTAGCTGAGGGGGTGGTGCAGCAGCGGTTGCAGTTGGGACAGCCGCATCTACGCGTAATTAATTGATTTTTATCTGGCTTAAGGCTATTTTACAGTTTGTTGATGACAGACGATGCAGACCGAAGCACGGGAGTCTTTCCTGGGCACTGCCCTGTCCCCAACCCCGCTGCATCTCTGGATGGATGCACTCGATGCCAGAGGGCAGCAGCAGCAACAGCAGCATATATGCCAACCGCACATTATGGCCGATGTAGAGTCTATTTAAAGCCAATTTTATGACTCTCACTTTGTGTGTCCTCTGCGTTGGTTTTTTTGCTGCTTTTATTTTCGTTATTTTCGTTTAGTTTAATGAGGTAACTACAGTGGTTATAAAGTAGTACAAACATGTAATAAAAAATACGGAGTCTTTTACTTAGGTTTCTAATTTATATATAGATTTCACTTTAATATTACAAGCAAGAGTTTGACATTTTGCACCACTGTATGCAACATTGTATTTCCCTTGACTAATTTGTATATAAATTAAGTTAGCACTTCAAACAAAGCCATTATAAAGTTATTTAAGGAAACAAACAATACACAGATCTCCTGATTAAATAATGTGGTATAATTATGAGTTTAAAATGCCACTGAGCTGGTGCTAGTAATTACCCGAGGAGTCGATGGTAATTTGATTCCAATTAACGTAAATCTCCCGCTGCAAACTTGATATCCTGTGTGTGTGTTGGTGTGTGTGTGTCCTGCGTGTATGCGTCTGTGTGAGCCGCATTCGGTGGCGGTCGATGGGAAAATTGGCAAGTGCCAATGCAAATGGCCAAGAGGCTTAATGCCTGCCCACAGCAGGATACACTCGCACACGCTCACGTTCACAGAGAGCCATGTCCTGCAGTTAATTTGCTGATATTATTGCTGTGATTAACACATACATGTTTATGTGCCCTGGCCATGTTTTATATATAAACAGTAAGGCACAACGCACAACACACACACACGGATGCCGCCTGCCTGTTGGAGTGTGGTGTGGGTGGAAAATCTGTGCATTGCACTTGAATTGACGTCGGTTTCTCACGCACACACACAAAACCGGCATATACACACAGAGTTATAGAGAGAGAGGAACATGTCCTTTGGCCAAAATGATAAATGGCTGGACCAAGCGGGCTTATAATATTAATAACACAGACAAAACACTTGAACATGTCGACATGCATAACATTTTGGCTCACACAGACAACAGGACATCAAACCGAATACAGAGCTAGAAAATTTGTTAAATAAAATTGGTAATAAAAAGTATTATTTGCTAGTATAGCTAAGGCTTTTTCTTAAGTTTAAATGCTAAACAAAATCTTTTTAAAAGAATTTTAATTCAATTTAAGAATTGGTGAAAAGTTAAAATCATTTCTCCTTGTTTTTCACATAATCTTGGTGGATTTTTCATAAAAATAAAGCTTAAAAATACATTTTATAAAACAAAAAGAACAAAAAGACAACTTTAAATTTATCAAAAACAAAAGTCAAAAGATTATTATAAATTATTCTACAATATTTAGTTCTGTCATATTTTTCACCATGTATTCCACGCACATCGAAGCCAAAGTGCTTAGTGTTTATGTGTATATATCAACTTGTAATTAATTGACTTGATGGAGAATGTAATTTAATTAAGCAAGCATTTCGATGTGACTCCTTGCCATATATATCCTTGTTGTTGCCATGGCCAATTTGCTTGGTTTCTATCTACAGTCACATATACATCGACACATCCCAGCCTGCCACCCACCGTTTTCCGTTTTCCAAAGTCCCACCCCCCCCGTTTGTGTTTATCTGCTTGGGTCTTTTGCCATGGCAGCCAATTAGTCTTATGGCATTTGAGTTGCCACACGGCGTATGCGTAACGTGAGATTATTAATGCAAATCGGGTTTGCATTGACAGGCCTCAGTTTTGACAGCTTTCAAAGGATTGAAGAGGGCATAGAAATGTAATGGGTGTACATTTGCGGGATAATACTGCAGAAATAGCAGGTACTTTGCAGCTAATTAGACACATTTGTTTAGTGTTTTAATGTATAATGAGAAAAAGGTGCACCCGCCTGCTGAATAAACATTTTGTTGTTCATTTTTATTGCTTTGAATTAAAAACCATTAAAGTCTATAATAATAATTCTCACTACGGTGTCAAGAAATTAATGGCTAATGTAAATATAAATATTATAAATAGTAATATATTACTTTCTTATTGAAAAAATGTGCAAGTTTGCAAGGTTGTTATTTCAAATGTAATAAGCATTTAATGACTACTGCTACGTGCTTAATAGATTTTTTTTATTAGCAAAAAAAAAAGCTTTTAGAAATTTATTGATTCATGGAAAAATGTTTGAGAAGGAAGGGAAAGGTTATCAAAGTTTAAGATAGTGATTCATTAATCACTGCAAAGTGATCACTCATTCATTCATTTAAAAATGATTATAAAAGATGCCGATTATATAAACTTTAAGGAAAAAAATTATTGAACCACTTAAGAAAATCTATTTATTTATTTCTTCGAAAAACTACTGCCAGCAAAGGCTTAAGAAACAGCTTAAACGTCTTAACCTTCGGTTATTGAAACCCCAAAGCAGCTGTCAACTGCAAATGCAGATAACAAACGACTTTCCATGGTTTTCCCCAAAAAAGTATATCCTGCTCAGGACCAAAATCCGCAAAAGGGGTTTATAAGCCAAATTCGCCGACTAATTCGAGTGAAATGCTAAAGTTTTTGATTAATTTAGCGCCGCTTAAAGAGCAAACACACTGGGCATCGTTGTGTGGTTGTACATAAATTTTGTTGTTGCCCTTAATTGGCTGACAGCAGTTGGGCCCCCGGGCATGTCCTTGCGAAGTTAATTTATTCTAATTAGTCAATAAATCTCAATTTATTTCACAATCAGGCAGGCGACCGTGTGAGTGTGCGAGTTTGCTTATGCTTTAAGGCATTTCTGGCTGGCAAATTGCAAATTGTATACTCGTCCTGCTGCCATTTTCCCCCTCCTGCCGCTCAAATGACATGTTCGGGCAGCTGCTGCAAGGGCAACTGCAACTGCAACAAATTATATATACATATATGTATATATATAATTTGGCATAATAATTACTGAGGCATTAAGCAGCACATCACACCTTGCTTCCTCTTGTTATGCGCTTCAATTAAATTACGATAAATTTGCAATGGCTGTTGGGGCCATTTTCGATTTGATACCTAGTTGAGTAAATAATTTTTGGGATTATTCTGAAAGCAAATAGCTAAATCGTATTAGGCATATAATTAAACCAATTATTTTATATTTGTTTCGGAGTACAGTGGGTATCAGTATCATATTTATTTTGTTTTAAGTTGCCTATTCCCCTTTTATATAATTAAGGAAATAATTTTGAATGAGATTTATCATTAAAATAGTTCAAATATTAAGTTACAAAATAATATTTATTTGGTATTTCGTTCATTTAATTTTACTAGCCACTGTGGCAACCATTTAATTTTCATTTTTATTTACAATTCTGCATTTCCGTTAGCCGAGCAAATTAGTCAAATTAAATATTATAACCATACGCACAAAATACACAGACAATTGAATATTTGTGGGCAAATATGCACATTAGATTGGGATTATTGAGAGGCAGGGAAACATAGTTTAAAAAAGAGTTTAATTAAATTAAATGGCCACAATTGCTACTATGCTCTTTGAGCCAGCTTTGGCCAGCAGCAAATAATGTCACATTAAATAAACCAAATAATCCTTTAGAGAACATATGTGTTCCATTTAATTCGAAATGTTAAGCAAGGAGACTGAAAAACTGCGTAAAAATACGTTTTCTAGTAGAGAGAATAGCCTTTCTTTTGTTAATAAAAGTTAAAGTTCCTTATATGAAGGTTCCCAAGAACCTGTCTTATTTAGGCTGATCCAGTGTTTATATTTTTTAAATAATTATTATCCTCACCTGCGTTTCGGTGACCATCAGCAGTTTGGCCATTTCGGTGCGCTCACTGGAGCTGAGATACTTCTTCACCTCGAACATTTTCTCCAGCTCAAAGATCTGGCGTCCGGTAAAGGTTGTGCGGGCCTTCTTCTTCCGCCTGGCATCGGTGGATCCCGAATCTGAGTCATCTTCGGTTGTCTCCAGGGCACTGTTTGCATTACTCTGCTGCAGCTGCTGAGCGGGATTGGTACTGGCTCCCGGTGAACTATTGGCCGCCAGCTTGTCCCGTATCAGACTGTCGCTGCTGCCCGTGGGACTGATGTCCGGCGGTAGAGCCACCGTTGCGTTTGTGGCCGGTGTTAACTTCTTTTTCTTGGCCGCCGGCTTGCCTGAGTTTTCTGCAACAAAAGAGTATTTTATTGACTTGTTGCCATTTGCATTTGTATTGGCCATGTGTTTGCCTGGCTTTTCTATCGAATCGCAGCTGTTTAACCTCAATTGGGTCTCTTGGCTGGCTGTCATGTCATAATTGCTTGTGCAATTAGCCAGCTCACCCCACCGTCCAATGTAACAGCAATTGACTGGGCCAACTTTACTGTCTTTTGTTATGCATTTTTTCCCCTCCCTTCTTGGCTTTTATGTTTTTACCCTGTTATTTCTTTTAGTTTTATATGCTCTTTGATCGGCTTATTGGGAGTCTTATTTTACTTTTTCATAAATATACATGATTAAAAATATATGTTACTTAAACATATGATATTTAAGCAGGTTGGTAGTTTACTAATTCGTATTTAAAGAATATTATTTGAATTAGAAACGTTTCTGAAATTATATCTAATTTTGTTTAATATCTTAATTATTATTAAGAATATAAGTTAATAGTCAATCCTTTGCAGGGCATTTATTAACCCTCTTCGGTGGCCAATAGCCGACTTGTAATGTCGAATGAAAACAAGTGTAAACAGGGCTATATAGGCTATATGGTTTTGGACTTGACGGCGGGGCCGAAACGTGTCTGGCATGAGTCGTTCGTTCGTTCGTTCGCTTGTTGCCTGGACAACTTCAATTACCAATGCATAATTGAAATCTAATTGACAGTTAAATGCAAAACGTTCGATATCGCTGCCGCTGCCGCTGCCACTGTCGCTGCCGCTGTCGTTGTCGTTGTCGCATTGCTAATACGCCGCGTGGGCCCCAAAACGGCCTCATATGGCCCACTCGCAAATGCATGACACTGTGATTAATTAGGCGGGGCGGACGGGTGGACTTGTGGACTGGCGGTTGGTCGACATCAGTGCCATTGCCGACGTTTGTTTTTCTCGCTCGTCTCCTCTATGGCATTGTCGCCGCCACTGGCAATTGGCAATTGGCAATTTTCACTATCGAACAACCAATCCCCTTTCCACCATTCCACCAACCCCCCTTAGGGAAATAAGAAGCCGCGTCGAGTCGATTCCACTGGAGTGTAAAGGGCGCCCCAATGGCGCGAAATCAATAAAACTAAATGGCAAAACAAAAGCGAATACAAAACAAGAATACAAAATACAAATACAGGAGGGGGGGCTAAGCGTTAAAAGCCCAATAACAACAGGCAGGCAACTTGTGCAATTAGAGCAACAACAATAAAAACTTTGCACAAATGTTTGTTTATATATTTGCCGTGGCCGCTGCTGCCACTGCTGCTCTTGTTGTTCTTAACGCCAATTGGCAATTGCCATGTCATTTCCATTAGGCCCAGTCGGTGGCGGGGCATTTAAATGTCGTTTTGCCAAGTAAACAAACAAAATAAAAGTAAGTAAATTAACTACAATACTCTAAACTGTACACAGAAAATATATTATTAGAGGTTACAGCAAGGTAATATAAGTAATACAACGAATTTTGTAATACTTAAATATATAGCATTTCATTTTGATGTTATTTATTTTTATATATATTTATATATCCATCATAAAATATCAATTTCCGTTTCTTTTTAAATTTTATAAAATAAATCTAGACATTTTCTTTCTGTGTATCTTTGGCATGCTCGTTTTGATGGCAGTTCCATTTATGGCAGCTGCAAAACAAGTAATTAAGCGAAAATTAACTGATGACTGGATGTCAAACAATCGGATGTGGCGGCTGGCCAGCGTCTGGAAGTTCGTCATCCGATAGTCTTGCCAATTTATTGTTGTTGTTGTTGCCTTCCCCCTCAAGTCTGCTACGTGATTTTAATAACAATAAAAATTGAACACAACATTGAGCAATTATAGCGGCAAGCTAATAGAAAAAAAAAAACAATAAGAAGCTGCTACAAAATAATTCAAATGCTGTTCTCAACTTTGCTTATTTTTTTCGCCGATTGCCATTTTGTATTTTAATTATTGTTGTTGTTCTGGGTACAGCCATGTGCATAATATTGCTAATTGCATTTTCGATACATGTTCATATATATATATATATTTTCGTGCCATTCCGCGCTGGGTCGGCCTCTCTTGCGAATTAAATCATTTTAATGCAGCGCTCAGTTCAAATTTAAACAATAAATTCGCTTTCACAAATAAATACAAAAATAACAAAAGCAATCAGCCAAAAGTGCATCTAATTAAATTTTGCACATTTTGTTAAACAATTACAATTTCAATGGCTCATTAATTATCGAAACCAGCGCGATGATGAACTCATATATAAATATATATATTTGTATTTATATATTTCGCAAGCTATTTGTAAGGTAATTAAAATGGAAGGCACAGGAAACATTATCGACTTTATTCTGAAAAAAAATCTGTTTATTTAATTTTAATGTTTTTTCAATAAGCTTCTACGAATTGGTTTCTATATTGACCTTTGAATATATTAAAATTTCATAATTAGATTTTTAATATGAAATTTCTCGAAATCTTTAAAGTTTCTTATCAGTTCTTTAACAGTTCACAGAACTTTATTATTATAAACTGTTAAATTTTCAAAAAATAATTATGAATAATATTACTTCTATTTAATTTCCAATAATTTTGCATAATAAAATTAAGCAATAAATGGGCGTTGAAAACCATAGTAGCTGACAGACGAGTCAAAGCTTAACTGGAGTGTGGTAAATTCTAATGACCTGGCCATTAGTGTTGCCAAAAAAAAGGGGAGAAAAAAACAAGGCAAAGATGCTGCTGAACGGGCACGAGATGATGATGCCCGATGGGCATCATTTAAGTTGGCAGAACACGCATACGCCGCGTTGCCCGCCGTACGCTTCGCTGAAGCGTGTTGAGAGCTCTGTGCTCCGCTCAATTGGCAGGCTCGTCGAGCGTTGCCATAGAGCGCACATATCAACCTATCTACCTATTCGGGGCGGCGCCAATAGGAGCGATCACCTTAGTGAAGAAACACTCTAAGAAAAAATTATAACTTATAAAGAAAGTAAGGAAAATAAAAACTAGGGAAAATCCTGAAGAAAACATACTTCAAATTCGTGATCTGCTTTCCTTATAAATTTAATTTTAAGCTATTCACTTTTACTATTTCTGTTCCGTGTAGTAACAAATATGGCCCTTTTGTATGCTTACCCTTCTTACTGGCAGACTTTCCTAGAATTTGGCTCTGCTTGCTAGTCGCCATGGGTGAGTTGTTGCTGTCGCGCGACTTTTTGACCACACACAGATTCAACGGCTGATCGAGCGGAGTTGATGCTGCTGCTGTTGCTGCGACTGCAACAGTTGCTGCTGCTGTAGTGGCAGCCACAGCAGTCGATGCTGATGCTGCTGCTGCAGTTGCATTCGAGGAGGCACTCTCCTCTTCGCTGGCATCGCTCATCGAGATGGAGACACTCCTAATGGGCTGTTGGTGATCCTGCTGTTGATACTGCTGCAGGATGCTACTCGGTGACTTGGCCGGACCGGAGGGATCAAAGGCGCCCTCGGGCGTATCCCATTTGATCAGAGGCATGCCGAGGATATCGGCAATAGAGTGCGGTGTGGGGCGATTTGGTGGGCGGGCGTAGACATGGGCATGCCAGTTAGTGGCGGCTCCAGGTGTGATAGTTGCACTTGCAGGTGTACTGGCAGAGCGTCGCTGTTGCGGCTGCTGATGTTGGGTGTGTTGTTGCTGCTGCTGCTGGGGATGCACTGAGCTGGGCCTAAAAGTAAAGGTGTTTTACGATAAGAATAATAATTATAATCTTAAACGTTTTCAATAGATAAAAATAATAATTCTCACCTGGGAGCCACCGCCTCTAGTTGCTTCTGCAGGAACGTGGTTGGCGGACTATCGGGAATCATTGGACTGCCGCCGCTCGCATTCGACTGGCAATTGTTGTTGTCGCGCACGCGCAACAGGTTGACCAGCTTCTCCTTGCTGCTGGGACTGACCATAGCCGTGGATGTTGGCGGAATGGTCAGGGGATTACTATAAACATAGCTGGTGGCCATCTTGTTTAGATCGTAGGTTGTGGAGTGCTGTTGTTGATGCTGGATGGACTGGTGCTGCATATGATGATGACTATTATGATGATGGTGATGATGCTGCTGTTGTTGATCCTTAACAATGCCGTAATTGTGCCCCAAAGCACCGCTAACCATTTCCGCTGCCACCAACTCCGAATCGCGTTCAGTTTCGGGCATCATTTAGGCCACGCTGCCTGTGAAATAAACGAAAGAAAAAAATGTAAGTTAAAGTCGGTATTTCTACGTGAAAGATAGGAAACTGGTGGAAAGTTAGATTAGCTCGAACAGCTGCGCATTTGTCGTCAACTTGTTAATGGTTTGCCTGCCAACTGGCACCGCCTGCCTGCTGCCTGACTGCCTGCCTGCCTCTGCCCGGTAATGTAATTTGTGAACGAACGCCCTCGACGTGAAGGCCAAAAGGCTTCGTTTACTACAGGACCCCTTGGCTTCCACCTTCAACTTCCACATCCTCCTTAGCCCTGAGACCCAAAAGTAATGCAATAAAATACAGCGTCAGTCCGTTGCCACTTGCTGCCCGAGCGCAACATACACTGGGGGAAATTCTTGATAGTTTTTACTTCGAAGAATTTATAATAAAAGAATTTATGTTAGAATTTAAATGTAGTTTTTTACTTAAGTTTCCCAACAAGCTTACGTCGTTTCCTTTAATATTATTTAATATGGAACTAAATTAATTTATTAAGTTTTTATTCTATTACAACAAATTATATACCAAGCATATATCATTTGACATTTATGATAAACAAATCTTTGTTTAGTTTCTGTTTCCTTTTATCTTTTTATTGTGTAAATTGTTGAAGAGATAATTATAATTAACAGATATTTGTTAGATCCGCATGAGAAATGTTTTTAGGGTACTAAAAATTGTGAAATTTATGATGATTCATAATTGTAGCAGAGTTTTTAAGAAGCTAATAACCTTACGAAATAAATCAAATTAAGAGTTATTTGAATTTCAACAAAATCCGGAAGCTTTAAATATAAAAATATGAAGACTAATATGATGAGATTTTTACGGGACTTTGAATTAATGGACTAAATCTAAATTATTTTCAAGTCTACACATTTTTTGTTTACAAAATTGTGTAATTTATCCAACAACAAATTTTAAAATATTTCTTATTTAGTTGCATATACTAAAGTCTGTTATTTAATATTTCTTTCTTAAATCTACTAAACACTTAAAAAAATAACAGTGTAGTTCAACTTATTTAACCCTACGGCCAGCCTTGGCTTCGGCTGCTGAATTGGGTTGAGTTGAGTCGAGAGTCGAAATGGGTTGAATGGGGTTTGAGTTCAGTTTGGGGGTCAGGCGTAGCCTATTTCCTGGCGCACTGCGTTGTGATTTGCATAACAAAATGTTGCACAATCATTGCGAAAGAGAGAGGGCAACAACGAGAGGGAGAAAGGGAGAGTGAGAGCGAAGCAGAGGAAACGAGAGGAAGGATTCAACTAGGCGGCACATACGTTTTCAAGTGCTGAATTCAGCAGAGGGGGAGAAGGGCACCGAGAGTAGGCGGTGTGCCTGGGCCTGGGTGGGCGGTGTCGCACAGCCTTGTACATTTGTCACTGTGAGAGTGCGTCTGTGTCTGTGTTATTGCGAGTGCTGCCTGCAAAATTTATGGCACAGCATTTGAGTGTGACACAATTTAACTTAATTCGTTAAGTCAAAAGCGTGTGAAGTGTACAAGGAAAATTATTATATTATTATTTTATGTTGTAAATTTTAGCTCTAGATTTAGGAAGTCAAGTGTGTTTCCATCTTTTGTATTATTATAATGCATTTTATTATGTTATATAATTAAAAAACCTTTGACTAAGAATATTACTAATATTAAGATACAAACTTATGAGTTTAAAAAATAAAAGAAAACTGTTTAAAATCATTCTAAATCATTTACTAAAAACATCCTGACATAAGGAAATAAATAATAATAATAATAATAAAAAATTTAAATTAAGATAACCATATGATAAAAAACTATATAACCTATCTCACTCATACTTGAGCTTTAAGTAAATAGCTTTATTATTTTTAACACTTTTTAATTTCATAATTTATTGTTTTAAAATATTCTAAATATTAAGCTTTGAATATACAAATATGTATCTAAAAAAAAAATACTGTTAAAAAAACAAAACATATTTTTTAACAAGCTTTAAATAAACTCATAAAAAAAATCTTTGCATCAGTTTAAACCACTTAATTTTCAAGTAAACAATTTATAGTTCATTTGCTTGGCATTTCCGCGGCATCGTTATGCCGTTGTAACAACTCATAACTGGAATATTCCCCGAAAGCAATTTAAATTAATACAAAACTGCACACCCATCATAGCACACAAACACACACATTGGCTGTAGCCACCCAAAACACCACCCACTTTCACAGTCGGCGTCGCAGTTGGCGCCGCAGTTGAAATGTCAGATTCAAAGAGCGCGCGCTCAATAAAGTGATGCGTGCTTAAATGTTTTTTATTACCGTTCAGGCGGCAGCAACAACAAAAGGATGACACGAACCTATTTGCCACACTCGCACACACACACCCATTCATTGTACTCTCTCTCAACATTGTATCGCTCATTGGCTCTCTCATGTTGCCAGCAACATGTTGCCAAGGCCTTGCAAAATCACTTAAAACGAAATAAAATAAAATGGCAAAAAGCAACAGCAAAGCCAATTTCAAAACGGCAGAGGTCGAGGGAGTGAGTCAAGAAGGGCAGCGAGAGAGAGAGAGCATCCGAAGTGGAGAAGAGGAGAATGTGTGCTGTTGTTGCTGGCTGATTTGGGGGACATATTCAAGCAGCGGAAGTGAGGCAGGCAAGCGGAAGAAGTTATTTCAATTGCCTTGCCGGCAAGCGAACAGGAGGGGGTCAGAAAGTGAGGGAGAGACTGGGTGTTACAGAGACTGAGAGAGAGGCGTGCACTAAGAAACAAAATCTAAGCCGAATACCTTCCAAATTGTATTGAAAAAATAAAAATGATCGATAACTGTTTCAGTTATGGGATATTTTTTATAAACTTAAATTTTATTTATTTAAAATATTTCCCGAATTCATTAATATTTTATTTTCATAATTTTTCAAGAATTATATACTTTTGAAATAATATAATAATTAAACTTTCTCTCAGTGCCTGCGATAAATGGCGCCCAAAAAGAGTGCCCTGCCCTGTGGGCACGTTCAGTAGCTTAGCGAGTGGCTGCCAGTATGTTGTGTGTATTAGTTACCTGGCACGCTTCTGGCTCGGCCTTTACCTCCCATTCTCCAACTCCTCCGTCGTCTACCCTCATCAATTCCCTGCGTCCTTTGGCCCTGTGACCCCCTCCCTCAAACTCCTAACTCGAGCTGTGTGGCACAGGACCCAAGTGTCGAGTGCCAGGACGAGGGCTAATGGCATTTAAGTTCTGCCCGCCACGGCACATGTGTCAGCTCAGGAGCGCGCTGGATGGGAATGTGCGACGAAATATATGTATATATAAGGGTATATATTGAATGGAATGTTAAAGATGGTGGTTATGAGGGCAAAAACTGAATGCTGCGGAGAAGCCATTGTGTAAGCTTGATACTAAAATAGCTAAGCGAAAATGTTTTGCAGTTCATTAGTGAGGTTTTTTCTTATAAAGTTGTATTGTCTTAAACTTTTTATTATATATTTTAATAAATTGGTTTATCAATTAATATGCGAAATTAAGAAAACAATCCTTAAGATTATTAGACTTAATTGCTTTAAAATCGTTCCATAATAAACTTATACATTTATAAGACTTTATGGAAAATGCGCTCCTGTAAATCTTACGTCGCACAAGCGAATGTTATATTCTTGTTCATTGAAAAGTCTACATTTTGGGCATTTTGGCAACTTTCTGCCAGCCATATTTGGCCTCGGGGCTTACGAGATGGTTTTTGGTCCCGTCTGTCTCTCCTCAGCCCCCCCTTGGTTGCCAGTATTTTGTCTATTTTATTTCATTTTCATTTTATTGCATTGACAACAACGCAAAAGCACACATTCCACAGGGTCAGAGGACAGGACAGGAGGGAGGACATCATTTTTGGGAGAAGTGATGTGAGGGAAGCGGAATCTACTTGTCTGACGTTTTGTTGGAATTTTAACAAGCCACTCTCGAATCATCATCATTGGGGTCTGCTTCATTTGGCCCACGGCAGCTTTCGTCAGTGTCCCTGGGAGTCGATCTCTTTCATACGTTTTTGTTTCCTTTTCGCCTTGTTCACTTAGCGAAAAAGCATTTGATAAAGAAAATTTAAAATGATAGTTTTCAAATCAGAAAACTTAAACGTTTAGATTTCGTAAAAAATATGTTGATTTGTCAAACACATTTAAATATATTATTTTTTAAATCACTTATCTAGGTGTCTAAAAGTATGCTATGAAATTTTGTAATCCTTTAACTTGGCCATTTAAGTTACTTTTTAAGTCTTTCTTTCGAGTGCTGCTGCTGTCTCGTTTCTTCCTAATTTTTCTCTTTCTTTCGTTCACGTTCGTCCTCGTCTTTGCTTTTCAGCTTTTGGTTTGGCATTCTGGCTTTCTTCGTCTCTTGGCCGTGTGTTAGTTTTGACATTAACTGCGGCTGACTTTGTCCGCCTCCATTTTTGTATCTTCACGCCCCCGTAGCCAGCACACACACACACACATACACTCCACCCACCGCCCATTCTTTCCCTTTTGTACCACCACCTTACTGTCGGTTCTGCCTTGTCAGCATAATTTAATGTGCGTTTCCTCCGCGTCCTGCCCTTTTCCTTGATGTTATTCTTTTGCTCTCCGCTGTCAACCTGGCAGCTAAAGTGTGTAATTCGTCATTCACATTTACCAGTCCCCCCCAAACCCGAAGACCTACACCGAATTCCCCCTTGGCTGACTTTAGACTGTGCGTCATCATTTCGAGCCGTGTAAACCTTATGAATTACGGGATTTAATAGGGAGATTTTTTGAGCAAATATCCATATAAAACTTGGTATTTGAGTTGTTAAAAATTATAAAAAAATTAGCAGCAATGTCATTATCAAATAGTTTATTTCTTTGGATTTCTTTCCATGTATTAAGTCTCAAAATCAGCTTAATTTCCTGAGACTTTATTGTAATCCTAGTGCTCTATGATTTCATTGTCGTTTTAAGTGTTACTAATTTACTTTTTAATGACATCTTTACTAT